GTTCTTCACACTCAGGCTCCAACCTACCTCCCCACTGGGAGAGCTACAGGTGCTTCACACAATCGATCTGCACAACAACTCTGCACACGGTAAATCTCATCGTCAGCAACATTCTATGCGGAAACTGAGTTTGCCCAAGATGACACAGCTGGCAAGTGATGGAGCTGGATTATGAACCCAGGTCTCCTGCCGCCAAAGCCAATGCTTACCTGTTCTGGCATCCTGCCTCCTCGCTGAGTGATAAGTGCATAGACTACAGGACTGAGTGCAGCTGAGCCAACCCGTGCCTGCTTCACAGAACGGGTCTCAATAAAGGGTGCAGGAGGAGGAGTAAAGAAGAGGGGAGGAGAAAGGAATATGGAGGGTGAGCATAACATATGCTGGCCTGTAGATTCTCGTTTCACTCTCATAACTGTCAGAGCCAGGGTTTGCCTGGCAGGCAGAGCAGCGCCTATAAGATCCTCAGCCCCTTGTTTCTACCCCAACTCAACGCTACATCCCTCTCAGAGCACCTGAAATTGCCTTTGTTAATCACAGCTGTGGGGCGGCACATCTACGGAAGGCCCCTGTTAGAATGAAAATGTTGCTCGAAAGAGAGGCATAATGGCATCAGGCTGCCCTTAGAGTTGTCAAAATCGGGTGTTCTTCTTGTGTATGTGTGTGTATGTGTGTTTGAGAGAGATTGAGAGAAATTGAGAGAGAGACTGAGATTTGAAGAGCTCAGGTGCCCAAATACCACCATTAGAGATCAACTCCTTTGTCTCTATCTCCTCAATGAAAGCAGAGTGCTGAAAGAATAGGACATGAGAGGGGTGAGACTTACGGGAAAAATAAGGATGGAGGTCTGGAGTCAGGAGGGCAGGCCTGATGGGTCATTTGGGGGAACGTCCCTCACGCAGCACAAGAGATGCCGCATGGTGTGGTGAGAAGGGGATTCTAAAGACATGGGTTTGGACTCGGGGTGGTCCACTGCATTGCTATGTGCCTCCAGGAGAGTTTCTTGCCCCACCTTGACTTCCCTTCCCTCCCTGTAAAAAGAGAGGGGTTGGATGAGATGCTTACATCCTGCTCCAAGACCCTGTGGCCCTGAAAAAGGGCCCCTTTACATTTTGTTAGCTGCTGAGGTGCCAGAGAGAGAGAGAGAGAGAGAGGCTCCCTCTGTTCATGCTTCCCTACTCCAGCTGGGGCAGAATCATGAGGGCTGCAGAGCACACTGCTGGGATGAGCCCTCAGAGAACCCCTCTGTGGGCGGCCCATATCCTGTGCCCATGACTGGCAGGCTCCAAGGTGGCCTGTCTGCCCACAGCTGTGTCTCCCACCAGCACAGTTAATTTGCTGCTGGTCCTGGGAAGTGACAGCAACTTGAAGCAAAGCAATTAGGATGAAAAAGAGGCCCAGCTGCTTGGGGCCAAACGAAAATAAACAGATTGGCCCTGTGTGTATTCCACCGCCAAGAGGAGCAATTCTTCACAGAGTGATTAGCACTTCCAACTCCAGTCTCCTCCCCTCCATTGAAAGCAGAGAAATGACCTATGAGCGGCTGCTGTTCTGGGCTCCCACTCTCCCCCAAGTGTAGGGTGGACCTGACAGCTCATCACTTCCTCATGAAGGTCTCCCCTAATCACTACCCACCTCCACCCCCTGCAGAAATGATACCCTCTTCTCTGAAACCCAACAGCCTCTCTCTATGGGGTTTTCCTTTGATTGATCCATCAATTCATTCGTTCTTCTGACACCCACTGAGCACCACTCATTCATTCAATATTTATTGAGTCCCTACTATGTTCTAGTCACTGTTCTGGGTCTTGGCTGATACAGCAGTGAACAAACAAACAAAAATCTGTGCCCTCATGAAGCTCAGTTTTGGTAGGAGGAACAGACACTAAACAAGTGAAAATATAGCACAGATGATGCTAGATGCTATAGAAGGAAGTGAAGCAAGAAAAGGGAGCAGGGGGCCGGCCGAGTGGCTCAGTTGGTTAAGAGCTTGCTCAAGAGTGCGAACTCTGAGCAACAGCAGTTCGATTCCTGGCCCGAGCTGAGCTGCCACTGAGCTGCCAACAGGGGGTAGGATGGCTTAGCTAAAAAAAAAAAGGAAAAAGAAAAAAGAAAGAAAAGGGTGTAGGGAATGCAGAGAAGAGAGACGTAGATTTAAATAAGGTGATCAGGAAAGGCCTCAGAATGAAAGTGACATCTGAGCAAAGGCCTGTGGGAGGTGGGAAGTGAGCCAGGTGACTGAGGGAGGTGTGCCCAGCAGAGGGACACCGTGCAAAGGCTCTGAGGTGGGAGTGTGCACTGTGTGTTTGAATTGCAGTGAGGTTGAAGGGAGTATGGTGAGAGATGAAGTAGAGAGGAAATGGGGCAGGGGTTCCTATAAGGACTTTGGCTCTCACTCAAGTGATGTGAGGAGCCACCCAAGGGTCTGAGTGGAGGAGCAACGAAGTCCAGCTGGCATTTCATTCAGATGGCTCTGGCTGTTACGTGAGCAGGCTGAAGGCAGGGAAGCAGGCCCTGGGGGAAGTGTGAGGCCTGGCTTTTCCTTCTGCCTCTGTCAGGCAGGCTATATAAGCAGAACAGGATCATTTCCAGGGAGAGGAAAGCAGGACCTCCAGAGTCCGAGTTAAGGGGAAAGTCTGTGGACCACTGGAGAGAGCTCCAGAATTGGGTTGCAGGGCTGTCATGGAGACTCAGGAAAATGCTCCTTGCTGCGTTAAGCTCTCTCTGTGTGTGCACGTGCACGTAGATATCTGAAAAGATAGACTTCTCAGAGTGGGCTCTGGGCTGGGACAAAGAGATTTCCTTACCTACAAACCAGGCACGGTAACCATCCTTGCCAAGCATGGTGGGCTGTGGGAGGAACAATGGAGCCTGATCAGTGAGGCCAGAGGAGAAAGTGAGCTTGATTATGAAAACTTCCCCCTTATGTCATGAGAGGGAGTATCTGTGATAATGCAAACACCCCCAGGGCCTTAACCAGTCAATAACACCCTCGTGAAATGGACCATTAGTCTCCCAGCTAGATCCTAAGGCAAGAGAACCCAGGACCGTGAATTTTCCTGAGAGGAGGAGGGAAAGGGCTGGGTCCAGGGAAGTGGATGAACCCCTAGAAGAGGAGGTGCAGAGAGAAGTGTAACAGAGGGGAGTGTTAAGGAGACTGGCAGAAACACCGTCCACCTCAGAATGTCAGCCAATTGGGGAGACAACAGAAAATAAGTATGTGGCCCTGGGTTCAAAGCCGGGCTCTGCTACTTCCTAGTTGTGCCTCTTCCAATCTCATAACCTTAGGGTGTTTTGGGTTTTCTTTTTCTTTAAGAGGGGAGTGGGAGTGTTGCCGAGCTGCCTACCACTTTGAAGTCTTACAAAGCTCATAAAAAAGCTCTCTAGGAATGCTGTGCTAATATTATGCACAGAAAGGGCTGCTCTGGATCAAGGAACGACAAAACCCCCAGGAACCAGCAGGACCCATCTGGGCTGGTCCACGAAGCCAGCTGCAAAAGCCAACAAACACAAAGCTCTGTGAGTTAAGAGAGCGAATGAGCTGATGGATGTCAAGATTGCAAGTCTCAGGGTGGTCAGCACTGGAGTGAGCAAGGAAGAGAGCACTTTGTACTGTTAAGTAGGCAAAAGGGGGATGCATGTGCTTTCAATGTCATTCTGGGGCCGGATTGAACAGTTACATAATTCTCTAGCAGCGGTTCTCAACCTTTCACAGGGGTCACCTAAGACCATCGGAAAACACATATTTTCGATGGTCTTAGGAACTGAGACACCGCTCCTCTATCGGTCTCCAGGCCCACATGCAGATACGCCCACATAGAGTACCTGGCGACCCTTTGGTCGTTCGACCCCCAAAGGGGTCGCGACCCACAGGTTGAGAACCGCTGCTCTAGGGCAATGTACCTTTGTTTTACGGTTTACTACTGATTAGGGTCCTGACTTTGTGAAGTTACATGCTAACACGTAGCTGCATGTATACATACGTAAGCATGTATGTGAAGATGCAAAGGATTTCAGTCCAGTAGGAAACCAGGTCTGGTTTTATTGTCCTGTATGACGTTAACCAGCTGCATTTCTTACCTTAGCAAACTTATTTCAATATCTTTTCCAACTAAATATATAAATCTCTCAAATGCTCCTTTGATGAACCAGCTTTATAATTCTGGTTCCCTTATTAACGAGTTAAATAAATCTTTGACATGTGATAAAAAATTATACTTTGGACAGAGCCAAAAAGTGAGGACTCTGTCATACTTTTCATGGGCCAGTGACTTTGGGCCAGTCACTCAGGCTCTGAGCCTCCGTATCTCACCTGCCACAGGAAGAGAAGGTAGCCAACTCCCAGGACTAAGGTAGGGCTGCAGTGGGAAGACAGACGTGAAAGTACTTTGCACATCATTCACAGGATGCAAAAATCAGGATTTATTGTTGTGACTCATCAGGTTAAGCTACTCCAGGGCTAGAAGATCCCAGGCTGCTGAGGGCAGTGTTCTCCGAGACTTGGGACATAGGTCAGGGACAAAGGCAGCTAGGGGCAGCCCTGACACTAGCCTCCATGTCCAGGAGATGCCATGCTGGTGCTCCATCTCCACTTGTTGAGGCCAGGATTTCCCATGGGTATCAGGTCATGGAGGATGGAGACGATTCAGGACTACTCAGAGGAGTCTGCCCAGGAGCATGGAAAGGACGGAGGACTGGGGTGGGCGTCTGAACAGGAAACAGGATGGGGGTATTCTAAAGGAGGGGCAAGAGTCTTCATCTAACACCAGATCCCTAACTAGTGGCCTTATAGCCTGGGTTCTTTCAGGACTTCA